TTATACATGTTTATTGCCAATTATATTGGACAAGATATTATGGATCACACTACTCATATATTCATTAATGCGTAAGAGAATTTTTTATACAATATTATAATGTACAGGGTATTCCATTTTAATTTTCACATCAAAATATTTGTTTCGAATAGAACTAGAAACTCGATTCCACACAAAAAACTTTATTGAATATATAATGTCGTTACAAAAATGAGAACGAAGAAACACGGACAAGACAAAATGCATGGGCGAAGTGATGCTTTCTTTCCCATGTATTTCCCTTAACACAAGGGAATCTCGCTCGTTTAATCTACGCAGTCAATAACTTATCTTTAGCCGCGTTTATCAGACGATCTCTGTCGATTGTAATAATATAATCAAAAATATAATAATATAAAAAATATAGAAAAATATTTCATATAAAAGTTTTATGATCTAAAGTATGCGGAATAATGGATTTATATATTTATTATTAATAATCAATTTTCGAAAAAAAATTCGATTTTTCATAGCCGTATAAAGGTTATGATAATTTTTATAATAGAATTGTTTTTTTCTTTAAAAATGTAATTACTTTAATTATTCTTTACATAAAAATATTGAGATACGATTATCAAAAATTTAATAGTTTATAAGACATTTTTTATACTTTACATCAAAATATGTCAAAATAATGTATAAAATATCTCGTAAACTATTGATTTTTCGATATCTTTATTTTAGCATTTATATGCAATCTTATATAGATATACAGAATTGATAGAATTATATTATATAACAAATTCGAACAATTTCATTCATAATTTATGATCATAACATTTATCTAAAAATCATTCATCTAAAAACATTCATCCATGAAAAATAAGTTTTTTCGAAATTTGGTTTTACTATTATTTGACTCTCTTTATTATACAACTTTAGACTGAAATATTTGTCCATATCTTTAATATTTTTCGAAATATTTTGATATTCAAAATGGAACACTCTGTATATGTGTTATATGCGCGCGCATAGATACACGCGTACACATACATATAAATGTTATACATATATATACATAATATATGTATAAAGATATATCTTAAAAGTGAATGTAAACATGTTTGGTAAATAAAATAATAACATTCTGAATATTGTTTACGTATATTTGTTTCATTTTCAAATTATCGTTTTATGTCACAGATACAACATTCAATGGTATACAGCTCCCTTACACATACAAAATATTATACTCTTTTTGTTACAAAGAAGAGCCAAAAATTTTA